TTGATGAGTAACCTAATTCCTTCCATTATGAGATTTATTTCTTCATTGGTCAGACTCACTGAAAACAGGGAGAAACTGCATTTTACTTGTCTTAGTGTCTCAGATTATACCTGGCATAGCGAGGGCAAGTGAATTTTCGTGGTATGGTGGTGTTGAACACATATCGCACTCAAACAACTCCAGTTCCCGTGACCCCTTCACAACTGCCCTGCCATTCGTCCTCCGTCACGTACTCGCACTGCGATCTCCAGCACATAGTTTCTTTGTTCACAAAGCTTGTTGCCACTGCTGCTTCCAACCTTGCCAGGCAGACAGGCATTAGGGGACACAGTCAGAAGGAAAGCCAGAAGGGCCAGAGGAGGCTTGGGTTAATGAGGTGTTGAGAAAAGTCTGGAGGCGCCTAGCTGACTCAGTCGGTGGAGCTTGCGACTCTTGATCTCGGGGCTGTGAGTTCGAGCCCCATGTTTAGTGTAGAGATGACTTAAAGAAATGGAATCTTAGGGAAAAAAAATCTGGAGAGGCAGTTAAAGTGGTGAGGAGGAGGATGTAGACTCTTCATAGGAAGACAGAACAAAAGGCAGTGTGGGCTTTTGAATTTGGAAAGATGCTGTCTTTAGAGGGTGATAGCATGTGGTGGAAAGGTGAGGAAGCACCGAGTTGTTTATAAATCCACTCAGCAGACCTTGGTCGTTGTCGGGGCTGTGGCCTGGGTGCCATGGGCACCGGGTGGGCTAGGACCTGCAGCTGGCCGGGGCCAGGAGTCTCTCAGAGTCTCTCATTGATTAGAGGGTCGCTGGTATGTTTTCTGTTGGGTAAATATTTTGTTTATAAAAGCATTGTAAGTTAGAGGAATAAGTCTTTCAATTTATCATTTTGTAAGTAAATTTGTGGAAGTTTGGAGAAAGAAGGGGATATGACCAGATAAGTGATCATGGAGTCGGGGGGCCAGAGGCTTCTGTTTTTCTCTGCTCTTGTGGAGGGTTGGGGAGTAGTTAGACATGGAGTTGGGTGGCCATGTTTGTTGTGAGAAATGGGAGCGTGACCTGCGTTTCATAGGGAGCATAGACCCTTTCCCTAGAGTCTAGAGGTTAGGTAGAATGTCGTGTGAGCGGGGCCTGAGCCACGGGGCCCCAGGTAGCAGCCCCTGCTGGAAGGGTGCTGGAGCAGGCTGGAGGCTGGGAGGTGTTTCCTCTGGGCCTGCATTTGTTGGAGCGTGCTGGACCTGCACCCAGAGAGCTTTTGCGGCAATTGTGCTGCTCGTGGAAGTGGCTCATCCTCTCTGTGACCTGGAGCTGAACTCACTAGGTAACTCTGCCGGGAGGGACCTCAGTGAGCCCAGGGAACAGGATTTGATTTCTTCTTCCTCAATGCAGTGAAAAGAAATAAGCGAGGAATTAGGTCATAGGTTTGTTTGAATAAATTGAGTGCATATGGAGAATTAAAAATTGTAAGGAGGGCTGAGTTGGCCTGGAGAGAATGCACAGTGATAGGCCCATCATAAAAGGATTGAATTTGCACTGAAAGTTTTTGTTTTCTTAAAAAACTGAAAAGGTGCTTCTGTTCGCTAAATTTTCACATTGAACAATTAAGGGAATATATACTAACATGTGAAATGTTGCATATTTGTTGACTTAAGTTTATGGTGGTTGGTGTTTTGCTTTGTTTTTTTAAGATTTTATTTATTTATTTATTAGAGAGAGAAACAGCATGAGATGGGAGAGGGTCAGAGGGAGAGGCAGGCTCCCCGCTGAGCAGGAAGCCCGATGCGGGGCTCGATCCCAGGACCCTGGGATCATGACCTGAGCCGAAGACGGACGCTTAACGACTGAGCCACCTAGGTGCCCCGTCAGAAATACTTCTAACAAAAAAGTTCTGAAGATTTCAAAAAATATCTTTTGTTGTCGTGATCAGAAAATCCAGTAGGTGGGGGCGCCTGGGTGGCTCAGTCGTTAAGCGTCTGCCTTCGGCTCAGGTCATGATCCCAGGGTCCTGGGATCGAGCCCCGCATCGGGCTCTCTGCTCGGCGGGAGGCCTGCTTCACCCTCTTCCATTCCCCCCTGCTTGTGTTCCCTCTCTCGCTGTCTCTCTCTCTGTCAAAA